AACCAAAAGAGCTGAACTATTTTCGTTTTGTTCCATGCGAGCAGAAATGGTTATTAATACACACCTGTGTAAAGTCTCAAAGCATGAATTAGAAAATAATAAATGAAGGACGCTTGAGTTGGTGAATAAAACATTAACCTATAACAAAATCAGTTAGGAATCAACCATTGGAGGATATACACTTGTTACTGATCATAAAGACCCAATTTTTCTCAAAGCTCTCAAGAAAATCTATAAATATTCCCACGTAATAGGAGAAATGCATGCAAATTTGAATATATCCCTCACAAATAGCCACTTCACCTCTACTTCTATCCGGGAATCAACTAAATTGAGATTAGAAAAAGAAAATGTTGTCTAGGTACGTGAAATTTGTCGATCGTGATTTAAAGGTTGACTAATTGACATCGTCTATAAGAGTCGTGATTGATAAGTGTATTTTATACACTTATTCGGGGCTTTAAATAATGGTTTTTGTAGTTCTTCTGATGAAATATAGCATAATTCATGTGATATTGTGTCAAATTGGTAAAACTTGATGTTTGATGAAGAATTGGAGAAAATAATATAAAAATAGTGAAAAAATGGCGAAATCCAGAAGTCGAGGACTAAATTGCAAACAATCCATAGAAGAGACAGGTGACAAAATGAAGATCAAAGATGCCAAGAGTTTAATTGGATGCAATTGGAAGATTAAGTAACAAGATTACAAGAGAAAATGACTCAATCAAATCGAATACAAAGTTTGGGGACTACAATGCAATACTTCAAAAGTTGAGTCAGATTTCAAAACGATGATTCAAGAATGCCAAGAGTCAAATGGATTTGAAGAAAAGTCCATGGGATTAGAATATGTTGAAACGGATCAAAATACAAATGTGAGAAAAGTTCGACAAAAAATGTACTATATTTAAGCATAGGCATGCATCCTTGCGTACACGAGATTTCAAAAAATCCACTTCAGAGATAAAATCATGTGAACTATGCATACACACCAAATGAACCATGCATACGCATGGTTCAATTCCGTAAAAAAAATTTATTTCCTTATTTTGTTTTGGAAACATTTTGTTTGCAATCTTTTAATACCCTATTTATATTAAGAGCCGTATAAAACATGAGAGACCTCCTTAGACCTAAAATCTCACATATTCTACGTATTTTGGAGGTGAAGAATGAGGCTAAACATCAAAATCAAGGCGGATTATACATGATTATTGAAGAATATTCATCAATTTTCAATATTCAAGCCAAAAAATTGGATTTCTCCACTTTTTTCATTACATCTTCTTTTCGGATGACTTTTTTCAATAATTCTTGTATAATTTAATCATTAGAATACTAGGCTAGTTTTCTATTATATTGGATGAATGATGAACCCCATTACATATTTGTCTTGATTTAAGACTATTAATTTAGTTATTTCTTTATTTTCTTAATTGATTTTGTATACCCATTGCATTATTTAATTGATTGGCCACCAATTGAATAATTAGTTGCTCGTTGTAGTGTTGGGAGACTCACAATAAGTTTAGAACACGACAAAATTAAAATATGTAAATAGAAGTAGGAGTAATCTTTATTATATATGCAATCACATAGATAACTTATAATCTAATGCATTTTGGTCATATGAATTTGAACTAAGAATAGAATTGGGTCATGATTAGAATAGACTTAACTTATCTTGAAAAATAGAATTAAATACACAAGTGTTATCAATTATCACGAATGCATGAAATTGACTATATTACAAATCAAGAATTAAAATAAATTGCAATAGGGGATTTAAAATCCAATACAATCATTCACATATTTAACAAAATATTTTTTTTTTGCTTTCTTAGTTTAGAATTAGTTTAAATAACAACAAAATACATCTTTTTGTGTTAGAACATCGAATTTAGTAGTAACTAGTGAACTAGAATTAAACATTATTTCTCATGGGGACGATAACTCATAACTCGCTTTATTATTACTTGTCAACAATTCTGTATGCTTGCGGGTTTCATATGAACAGTGAACAAAGATAACCATGAAATAATTCATCAAAGTAAAAGAATCAAAAAAATCTATAGCAAGATGATTCAAACTGAAGCAAATCAGGAGGAAATTAATGTATTAGGAATTGGAGTTGAGGCACACAGTGATGTTCCGGTTAACTACGACATAAATTTAAAGCAATGACGAGAGAAAACTCTGGTGAAGCTGCAAGTAACTCTCTCCTGCTCAGTATCGTCGTTAATGAAAGAAAATGTCCATGATAAAAACCATCCAGGAAATGGCAAAGAGCTTCAAAGCGTTCATTTGCTTCTTTGCTGCAAAAATAGACAATCCGTAGTTTTTTTCAAGAGAATAGTATAAACATTTAGGTATAAAAAACTTACAACAGCTTGAGGCTAGATCACCGAATGAATAGATCTAGCGTGATTGATAATCTCACAAAGAAATCAATTCTCATGATAGAAGGTACACCCAAAGTTATCGTCAAGATGGTAGAAGGGCAGAAAGCCTAATTGAATCCTCATATTCAGCTTCTACGTATTAGGATCAACCAGTGAGATTATATTAACTAGATGATGATGATGAAATCCCATCTTTCTCGAAGGACCAAATAACTTCATCCATCCTATAAAAGAGAAGTACAGTGTAAAAGGTAATTCAATGTACCACTTATACGAGTATATGACTTAAATAAGGCTGAAGAACGCAAGCTTTGCACTCAAATGTCAGAGTTGCAAAGAGATAGTATAACAAGTTGTTGTTAAGTTCAAGGGCGGACCCAAACAGTTCGAATTGTGAAGTCAATTTTTTTTTTCGAACAACATATCATGAATAAAAAGGAGAAATCGGTTGTTTGCTATTCATGTTCGGTGTTTGCACTATGGGAAGAAATTGGTGGATTATATGATATATCTATAGACTAAATAATAGATATGGACCATGTGATATGAATATAAATTTAGGATTTGGACTTTTTAGAGCAGAAAATTAAGTTTTCAGCCAAAAAAAAAAATTCCAAAAAACTGTGAGGTCATTTGACCCCACATGACCCCATGTGGGTCCGCCCCTGGTTAAGTTCAATCAGGAGGTGGCTGCAACTATAGCGGGCATTCTTGGGAGCTTTCATTGAAAATAGAGTAGGGTAGGCACAAGCAATGAGGCTAAACGACATGAGATAAGAGGAGCGAGAGTCTCTTGAGAACTACTTTGCACATTTCAGTGTTGAACTCATAGCCCGCGAAACATCCACATCCATTCACCATCTTTGCATATAGTTTCAAAACTTCAAAAGGAGTGGCCACTATCAAGGAAAATCAAGCGACCGCACGCGAGTGTTACCTTGGTGCACTGGGAAAAACAGCTCAAGAACCCTGGTAATTAACACTACAATGATGATTTGAAAAACTCTCATGTTATTGAGGATAATAGTGTAAGTACTAGGGAAATATTGATATTAAACTGTGAAAGAGAATTGAGTATAGAGTGTTGCATCGGTAAAGTTTACTCTAACAAGCACATGAAATGGGAAAATGGCAAGTCCCTTTTCGCATTCAATGAAGTTTCAATTGATGGTGAGTTCTTATCTGCCAATAGTGATGGCAATGGCTCGGCTCGGCCCTTTAACTCACGAGCTCGGCTCGGGCTCGTGAAAGACGAGCCGCTCGCGAGCTCTTTTTTTTTTTGCACATTTTTGGACTTTTGTTTTTTTTAAATTTCATATTTTTGGGCTCGTCAAAATGTGCCCACGAGCGTGGGATTGAGCCCCATGCTTGACTTGGGCTCGTCATTCGAGCTGGGTTTTAACGAGCCGACAAGCCGCTCGGCCCGTTTGACATTCATATCTGCCAATTATGACAATTTTGACGTTTTGAGTATTTTTGGTTAAAATTTTGAAAAAAAACTCAAAACATGAAAACAAATGTTTAAATTAAAATTTATTTTTAAAATTTTAAAATTAAAAATGTTAAAAAATAAATGAAAATTTCTAACAAATATAATTTTAAAAAATAAATTTCAAAGATTAATATAATTATTAAAATTGAAAAAAAATAAAAAGTATACAAAATAAAAAATAAAAAATAAAAAATGTTGAATAATGATTATTTACATAAAAATTTCAAAAAATTAAAAATTAAAAATTAAATGAACACAATTAAAAATAGTCATAGTCCATGTGTCCACATCATTAATTTTTTTAATAAAAATATTTTGAACTCTATTTGTTATTAGTTTTTATTTTACTTTTGTAACTTTATAATGTATATATTACTTGATAATATAGATTTATATTTACTGAATAATCAAATTTATGGAATAAAATTCAAGACAGTTTTTCAAAATTTCAAATCAAACATGTTTTTTAGTTTTTATTTTGAAAAATGATTTTTTAAAATGACAAATCAAACGTATTTTTTGTAATCTTAAAATAGACTATCAAAACAGAAAATTGAAAATAAATTCAAAACTTCAAATTGAAATTCGAAATATAAACCAAACAATTCTTAGTGTTTTAGTCTATGGAACACTTGTCTGAATAATTTATATTTCAATTATTTTGGATATTTGAGATTTACAAGGGTTGGGTTGATGTAGTTCTGTGTGATTAAAGTTGTTTCATTCTTTTTACTCAACTTGTTTTGTTGACTTGTTTAGTCTAATATCATCAACTCGACCACTTTTTTCAAACTCAAGCCTGATTAGGAGTTGACATACTATGTAAAAGTTGAAAATGTTTAATTGTAATACAAACATCCAGCAGTAATTAAACATAAGGGCAACATCATTGAGGATCCAAATATTTCAAAAAGTTAACATTTGGAACTGAGGTTATCTAAATGTTAGGTTGAGGACTACATGCTACACTTTCATAGGTTGGTGCCTCAGCTATAATTTTTCTAAAACGAATCATTTTTTGGAAAAACTGAAGGGGAGGGTATATTAGTCATTTCATGCTGTACCAACCCCTCAGCCCTAAAAGCAGCTTCAGTACCACGGTTACCCTTTCTCTTTGCAATCTTCGAATTTACAATTTCATACATACATACATACATACATAGAGAGAGAGAGAGAGAACGGGGAGAGAGATGGCTAGTTCAACACTAAATCAGAAGCAGCAGCCGTCGACGATGTCGTACACGGTGGAACAACTCGTCGCCGTCAATCCTTACAACCCGGACATCCTTCCCGATCTCGAAAACTACGTGAATGAACAGGTACTTTTTTATATGCGTGGTGCTTGTTTGTTTCTTTGTCTGTCTGTGTACGTGTATGTTTATTGGGATTTTAATTTACCGAAGGTATGAATTTTTGTTTTGAATTTTGAACCGGAAAAATTAGGTCTCTTCACAAACGTACAGTTTGAGTGCAAATCTCTGCCTTCTTCGTCTCTACCAGGTTAGTTCTATAATTTTAACGTTTTTAATCTACAGATAAGAGCGATAAGTTATTATTACTAAATTTTTGTATCCGTTAATGCAGTTTGAGCCGGAGAGAATGAGTACTCAAATTGTTGCTCGCATTTTGATCAAGGTACATTTGTTTAGGAAACAAGTATTAATATATTTGGCTTTTTTGGTTCTTGCTTCAATTTTATATCTTGATGTGGTTTGTTTGATTTTTAATTTTATTTGGAGCAGGCTCTAATGGCAATGCCAGCGCCCGATTTCAGCCTTTGTCTCTTTTTAATCCCTGAAAGAGTGGTACTTTACTGATTCTCGTCACATTTCTTATGATCCTAAACTTGTAATTCTGTAATTATAGTATTTTTTGTGTACTTTCAAGAATTTATGTAGTACTTCTTCATTGCCTTTTATATTTTATAATTAATCCATTTGAAGATTAGGGCCTATTTTATTAGCTGGTTATTGTACTAAGCAATGTCAAGTTACTGTTTAGGAATGACAGTGAACCTCATTTTCCAAAACCGTTCATAATGCAAATGCGAATTAATGAAATAGAGGGACTGTTGTTTGGTAATAATTGGGAAGTCAGAAATAGGATTAGAAATGACCTAATTCGAATTGTATCTGATTATTGACAACTTTCAATTGCATCCCTCCCAGCAAAAGTTTTTTCCACAATCACTAGGTTAACTTTTAGGAATTTTGTAGCTGTGAATTATTATCATCTTAGATGATTTTCTAACTGCAAAGCAGCAGCCATAGGCCTCGTCCTCATACCAAATAGTACAACTGACATTTTTCATATTCTAGTCATATTGCCGTTCCAAAGATATTCTTGAAGTACTGTCTTATTAAGAGTTTCAGACTTGGAATTGTAAAATTTTTTGTTTGTGAATTGGCAAAATTTGTGTTTAATTGTGAAATATTAGATTCTTCATTGCAAATGGCAGTCTTGATAAATTTTATGCTATTCCTTTTACCATATGAACGAGCATTTTAAGTCCACTGGTTTCTGGATGAGAATGAGGAATTTGAGCAGACATCACATATTATAGCTTTTATTATATAAACCTACCAAGTCAAAAATTATTGGGCTAATACCATTCTTTTACGGATCACCACAAATAATAAAGTCCACTTTGCTTTAGAGCTATTTATGGAGAAAATGAAATTATCACAACGTTGAGACCCACACCCCCCACCCCCCAAAAAAAAAAAATAAAAAAATAAAAATGACATGCATGCTCAGATAGTTTTTCACGCCTCGCGTTTACATGTTTGTATTTCACTGTTAATGCAATTTTGATTTGCTTATCAGTCTTCTGCAAGTTTTATATGGAATTGGTTTCAGTCTAGTTTTAGTTAAATATTTCTTACAATTTAGACACTTTTTTCACTTTCCTCTGATTGATTTTCTTTGCTTATTGCGATTACCAGCAAATGGAAGAACAGTTTAAGACTCTCATCGTTCTCTCACACTACCTGGAGGTATTTTTTGGACTGCATATTTCTTTGTTCTCGAAACAAAGTACTTTGGTTGAATATCTAAATTGGCATATGATGATAAGACATAGATCTCATTATGTTCCTACGTTTTGAACTTCAGACAGCCAGGTTCCGCCAGTTTTGGGACGAAGCAGCTAAGAGTCGTCACATGGTAGATGCTGTACCAGGTATTTCCAAAATATCCAGTATTGCTTGTTTTGTCTCGCATCCAAATTCATTGATTATGTACTGCATGGTGTTGGTGTCTATGTTGAGTCCATTAGAACTAATCTGTTTTTCTCAAAGTTCTACTGTAACGTAACGGACTTGAAGAGGTTAAGAATTGGGTTAATATATGATGAACCAATGTAAGTGGAGACTATAGAGAAGCATTCTGATTTTTGTAATGGATGATCTTTCATATAGGTTAGTATTCACACCTGATTGATTGCCTGTATGTATTTGGGGGCAGAGGGAGGCGGCAACAATGAACCCTTGAAACGCTATAACTTCAAAGTTTTTGTCATATGCTAAGAAATGCAATTTTTTGTGAAGGTTATTTTATTAATAGAAGAGAGATGATTACTTCCTGGAACTCTTTATGTTGTTTGCTGCACTCTGTTGTCGAACTTGCACTGTACTTACATCTAATGAAGTTGCATATAAAATTCAGGGTTTGAACAAGCAGTTCAGGCTTATGCGATTCACGTACTGCAACTGACTTACCAGAGGGTTCCAAGATCTGTTCTTGCCGAGGTATGGTTTTCTGTCCTGATAGTTATTTTCCTGCCAGGTTCTTAGGAGTAATTTTTAGTGCCTGGAGAAAGATCTCGATGCTTTCTCAAGTAGCAATATAGATTAAGGCTTCTCTGTGTACCCTCTTAGTTTGCTGGTTTTAGTTGTGAATAATTGGTTTGGATATTTTGCAGGCCATCAACATTGAAGGTCTGTCTCTGGACAAGTTCATCGAGCATCATGTCACCAACTCGGGCTGGGACATGGAGAAAATGAAATTATCACAACGTTGAGACCCACACCCCCCACCCCCCAAAAAAAAAAAATAAAAAAATAAAAATGACATGCATGCTCAGATAGTTTTTCACGCCTCGCGTTTACATGTTTGTATTTCACTGTTAATGCAATTTTGATTTGCTTATCAGTCTTCTGCAAGTTTTATATGGAATTGGTTTCAGTCTAGTTTTAGTTAAATATTTCTTACAATTTAGACACTTTTTTCACTTTCCTCTGATTGATTTTCTTTGCTTATTGCGATTACCAGCAAATGGAAGAACAGTTTAAGACTCTCATCGTTCTCTCACACTACCTGGAGGTATTTTTTGGACTGCATATTTCTTTGTTCTCGAAACAAAGTACTTTGGTTGAATATCTAAATTGGCATATGATGATAAGACATAGATCTCATTATGTTCCTACGTTTTGAACTTCAGACAGCCAGGTTCCGCCAGTTTTGGGACGAAGCAGCTAAGAGTCGTCACATGGTAGATGCTGTACCAGGTATTTCCAAAATATCCAGTATTGCTTGTTTTGTCTCGCATCCAAATTCATTGATTATGTACTGCATGGTGTTGGTGTCTATGTTGAGTTCATTAGAACTAATCTGTTTTTCTCAAAGTTCTACTGTAACGTAACGGACTTGAAGAGGTTAAGAATTGGGTTAATATATGATGAACCAATGTAAGTGGAGACTATAGAGAAGCATTCTGATTTTCGTAATGGATGATCTTTCATATAGGTTAGTATTCACACCTGATTGATTGCCTGTATGTATTTGGGGGCAGAGGGAGGCGGCAACAATGAACCCTTGAAACGCTATAACTTCAAAGTTTTTGTCATATGCTAAGAAATGCAATTTTTTGTGAAGGTTATTTTATTAATAGAAGAGAGATGATTACTTCCTGGAACTCTTTATGTTGTTTGCTGCACTCTGTTGTCGAACTTGCACTGTACTTACATCTAATGAAGTTGCATATAAAATTCAGGGTTTGAACAAGCAGTTCAGGCTTATGCGATTCACGTACTGCAACTGACTTACCAGAGGGTTCCAAGATCTGTTCTTGCCGAGGTATGGTTTTCTGTCCTGATAGTTATTTTCCTGCCAGGTTCTTAGGAGTAATTTTTAGTGCCTGGAGAAAGATCTCGATGCTTTCTCAAGTAGCAATATAGATTAAGGCTTCTCTGTGTACCCTCTTAGTTTGCTGGTTTTAGTTGTGAATAATTGGTTTGGATATTTTGCAGGCCATCAACATTGAAGGTCTGTCTCTGGACAAGTTCATCGAGCATCATGTCACCAACTCGGGCTGGGACATGGAGAAGAGTCAAGATAAGGGCCAACTCATTATTCTCCCTAGCAACGAATTCAACCATCCAGATCTCAAGAAAAGCACCGTAGATGGTATTCCATTGGAGCATATCGCTCGCATCTTCCCCATACTTGGCTGATGAAATCCAGTATATTGTTATTATTGATCATAGAGTGGCGTGGGATAACATTTAAGCCACACCCGAGGGTGAATATAGTTTCTGGTCAGAGGCCAATCGAAATCTTTCTTAATTTGCTGTGTGTTGTTGATTTGGTTTGACAACTTTTGAATTGTATCTCCGAGGTCCTTTTATCTCTATGGAGAGTTTATTAGGTGCTTGTATTCCTTTTGCTTAGTCAAGAAATACCTACTAACTTAGCGGATGCTACATGTGTTGCTCAAATCACAACAATAGAGGTCTCACTTTCAGTAGAGTCAAGCAGGAAAATCGAACAAATTTACTCGGCATTTTTTTCCCCTCAAATGGTCTCCATCGTTTGCATATCTTTAGGATTGAGTACCTATTCTTCTGCTTTTGACAGGGAGATCCCTATTTCAACCTTTATTGGTACAAATGGTCATTTCTATTCAAGTCCATCACTTTCCACTGTTAACTGAAACTCAATTACCCAATCATGTTCGTTCCATTACCATACAGGCTCTTATCCGCACGTTAATATGAACCGAGCAAACATTTCTTAAAAAATCTTTTCGGCGGACTCGGAAGAAAAGGACCTATTTTTTTCTTTCACTCCCAAGCTACCAATTGTTCGAACCTTAATTGCGCTGGTGAAGCTGCTGTTGAATTGAAGCAGAACAAGATTGATTTTGAACCCATATGGGTGCTTTTTATGTTGTACTTGGGTCCATGTTATGCAAAAGATAGGGACTATTTGTGCAAAAAATTATTTATTATATGGTCTAATCTTCAGTCATAATTTCGACTACCCACTTATTCAATTACTTATTCACATATTATGAGGGAGTTGCTACTATTTTTTCATATCCATTTATAAATTTGCCAAATGTTGGTATACAATGTTAAATTAATTATTTCTTCGAATGAAAGCCCCCGTTAGGTTTAGATAAAAATAATATTTTTAATAAATTTTGATAAAAATTGATAGAATTCATAATCGAGAAGTCATGGGATCTCATCCCATAAATATGTTGTTAAAATTAATAATTATCTTTAGCTTAAATTTTAATCAAATTCTTTTAGCTGACCCAAATTTTTATTATTTTTCTTTTTTCTTTTTACATTTTCACTCATATACTTTTCTAACCTTCAATCTTTAAAATTTATTTTTCTTGAACTCATTTTTTACTACAAATTCTTAGTCAAAATAATTTTACAAAAAATTTTAATTTTTGCATATTTTTTAATTACACATTTTTTTTTTTTCACGTGTAAAAAATCAGAGGATGAAATAGGGGCTGAGTTTAGCTTTAGCCAAACAAGTACCATACAGAGAGAGCACCTGGTCGACACTCCCACGGGCTTTTAAAACGAACCGACAGAAGTTTTTCGTTGAAATCTCCCTAACCGCGAAATTGAAAAAGGACACTACCCTAAATCAATCTCTGGAAATCACATAAAGTGAACATCAATATTATCATCAAATCCTCGTCCAACCATGTCGTCGAACAAGCGTCATCACAAAGAGAAGATAGCCCGTCGCATAAAGTACGTATTTTTCTGCAATATTCCCTTTTAACTAATGGTGTTTTACTTGCTTGATTTTGAGATTTAAATGTCGGTAATTTTTTCTCCCTTTTGTGATTTTTTGTGTGTTTTTATTATAATTAGCGTATTTGGGGTTGTTATGTAAATGAAATTCTCGTATTTTTTTCTACTTTTCTCCCTTTCTGTGTTTTTTGGGCTTTCATTATAGTTAATTTTCGTATATTGGATTATTTTTGTAAATGAAATTCTTGTCCTTCTCTATTCTTCTCCATTTTTCTGTTTTTATTTTTCATTATAATTATTATTTTAGTTTATTAGCGTTATGGTATTATTTGGCGTTATTTTTTAGTCTAGGAGAATAGTATAGAAGTAATGATGGTGATAGATTGGTTGTTGCAGTAAAGAGGAGAAGGTGGAAGACCCTGATCTGCCGAAATACAGAGACCGAGCAAAAGAGCGGAGAGAGGATCAGAATCCCGATTATGAAATTTCTGAATTGACATCTTTCCATGCTGTTGCTCCACCGGGAACTGTGGATCTTGGGTGAGATACCAGTATTGTATCTTCATTTCACAACTTTTTTCTCTAAAAAAATTCTCTACGCTTCTTCATTTTGAATAATCACTGTATTAAATTGCTCTTTTGGATGATACTTCTAGGCCCGCCGATGCACAGAAGCTATCTATAGAGAAGAGTAAATATCTTGGAGGTAAGTGTTTTGGGATTAATTATTTATTATACATCTAATATAGAATGGGCGAAAATGTACTGGGTCTTTCAAAATTTAATCGGTGTTTTCTAGTTTTAAACTTAGGGACGATGGATAATAATGCATAATCATTTATAGGCAACCATAAAATAGATTAATAATTGTCCTCAATATTATCTCTGAGTTGGTGTCTGTCAGCTGAGTTGCTTCCACTTTTTTTCAAGCTGTTCTAGAAGCATTCCTTATCAGACCCTTAAAGAAAGAGGAATGTTTTGACGATTCTATTCTGAGATCCAAACTAAATTTAGTTTTCATAAGGTTCTGTATCCTCTTACTAATGGAAGAAGTTCTGTATACTTAGGCCTTGTTTGAGCCCCATTTTTACCTCATTAAAATGAAAAATATGACCGTTATCCATCACATCAAGCCACCATTTTTGAATTTCTATCTCTTGTGTGGGGTCCATAATGGCTCTATTTTTTATTCTCATTCTACAAAAAAATGTGGCTCAAACGGGCTCCTATTGAATTTGTATTGAGATGAGAGGCTAATCTCTTGCTAGTGAAACCTGTTTCATTTTACTATTTATGGTAATGTTTGACTGAAGACTGCTCTTAGTTTAGTTGTTGTTCCCTATATATTACCTTCTCTTACACAGGTTGTAATGTCATGCAGGTGATGTGGAACACACACATCTGGTGAAAGGGTTGGATTATGCTTTACTTAACAAAGTGCGAAGTGAAATTGATAAAAAGCCTGATATTGGAGAAGAATCTAATGGAAAAGCTACGTAAGTGGCTTGATTGTGTGTTTTACATTGTAAAAATTATCTTTTACGTGCGTAATGTTTAAACCCTTTTTTTGTCTTTCTGTTTATGTTTGATTATTGTTAAAGAAAAAATGTGGGTTAGAAAGAAGAATATATTTCTTGGATATTTTATGCAAAGGGAAAGCTTTTACAATGCTAGTTAAAGCTGTGCATGGAATTGGAACCCATTTTCAGTTTTATAAAAGAAAAAGAGATGTTGGTTTCAGTGAAAAGCCAGAGAGAGAGTTATTCATGTACCTTACTTTAGTAAGGAAAAAATGTTAAGAAGTGTACTTTCTTTCAACAATGGTAAGGGGTTCCTTCAGCCACAAGATAGAGAGAAAATATAACAGGATCGTGCAGGAGGAAAAAGTCCTCATAGTGGCAAATTTGACCAATCTCAGAGAATGCATCTATGCAGTCACCTAGGTAGTCAGAGAAGAAGCTAGTCCTGGACGGATGTACCAGTCAAGACAACCATAAGCTAGTGCTCTTGAGTCTTATGCTCTGACTATCTACATCTGAGAAATATTTTTCCATGGAAAATGAAACTCGGAAGGAGATAGGGAATGAGCTCATTCTCAATGATTCCTAATGCTACTCCATGAACGTTGTGGTAAGGGCTCTATTAGAATACATGAAGGAACTTTCAAGTGTTCCTTGGAAAGTAGTTTTATGCTAGCATGGAATACCTGCATTTTTGTTACTGGAAATCCACGAGATGATGCAATGTGTTGTTTCTATAACCAATGCTTCTGAATAGTAATCAGAAATGCTTGCCTGAGCAATTATTGGGGTTTGTTAATTTTGTGAATAAAGTGTTTCTCTTCTGTCAACAGAAGATCCAAGGAAGATCAACCATTGTCATTCCGTACTGCAACAGCAAAGGTGCATATTTACTGGAATTCATTAAGTATTAGTTTGAAGCTGCTTAATTGTTTTTAATTTTTTTCCTACAACGTAACAATGGTATACTATTATACATGTTTCAGTCAGTTTATCAGTGGATTGTTAAGCCTCAAACTGTTATCAAAACCAATGAAATGTTCCTTCCTGGACGAATGGCTTTCATTTACAACATGGTAAGTTTGTGCTTCCCTTCATTCTGGTCCCCTGTAGCTTTTATTTCATGTTCATTTAGCTATGGAATTCACGACTTATATGTTTTTTATGAATGCTACTTGTTTTCTTGTTTTAAGGGTTTCTATGAAGTCCTGTATGTGGATCCGACAGACCTAACCTAGTCTGCTTTAGGTTGCTTGCATATATTAAGTTGTCAGCTTCTCCATTTTAAATCTGGATAGCAGATGTACTAAAAACTTGCAATATATGTTGTCATATATAGAGGAAGAGCAGAAATACAAGTTCTGGAAGTGGTGTCAGTGTGATCTATGTTTTTGTGCTTTGGTGCATTGCCTTTGCACCTTGTCGGACTGAAGCACCAGGGTTTGTAGTCACCTGTTCTTCCTGCAGACCACCATTTCATTGGTGCTGTTACATCATCCAAATTCTTGTCATGCAGGAGTCAGGAGTGGGTTTACTTGTTTCATCTTGTGAAATGCATTTAACTTCAAGTGAATGCAATTTATAGCACTTTTTAGTTTGGCTTTGTCCTGATATGATATTTTCCTTTAGTAGAATGTTTTGAACAGAGAAATGGGACGGCTTAAGTAAATGCTGTTTAGTGCACGCTTTATAGAAACAATGTTTACACAAGTGTTAGAGAGAAAAATTCTTTCTTTTTCTACTCATGCAAAAGATTCTGATTGACAATATTTTCCAATAAAAAATATGGTTCATATGTCCTAGGAAAGTGGGTTTTCTCATGATATTGCAACCACTGCGCACCAAAGTAAAGCTGATTGTACTAAAAACCTGCAATGTATGTTGACATGTATAGAGGAAGAACGGATATACAAGTTCTCGAAGTGGTGTCAGTATGATCTATGTTTTTGTGCTTTGGTGCATTTCCTTTGCACCTTGTCTGTGGACTGAAGCACCAGGGTTTGAAGTCACTTATTCTTCCCACAGACCACCATTTCGTTGGTGCTATTACATCATCCAAATTCTTGTCATGCTGGAGTCAGGAGTGGGTTTACTTGTTTCATCTTGTGAAATGCATTTAACTGCATTCGCAGCACTTCTTGTCCTACTGAGTTTGGCTTTGTCCGGATATGATACTTC